CTACTGTTTAATTTTAGATTATTGTTAGTCTTTGTTGTTTAAAAAATTTCTATGTTTCTGTCTTCTAGTTCACAGATTATTTCCTCTGTCCCCTCCATCTTCCTGTTGAGTCTATCTGTTGAGCTTTTTATTTTGTTTTTGTATTTTTCAAAATTTACCAAATTTACCAGAATTTCTTTTTTTTTGATTTTTTTTATTCATAAGAGACACAGAAAGAGAGGCAGAGACACAGGCCTCTGTGACCTAAGGAGGAGAAGCAGGCTGCATGCAAGGAGCCCGATGGGGGACTTGATCCCGGGAATCTGGGATCAGGCCCTGAGCCAAAGGCAGATGCTCAACCGCTGAGCCACCCAGGTGTCCCAACCAAAATTTCTATTTGGTTCTTCTTCATACCTTCTGTTTCTTTGGTGATACTATCTACTTTTTCATTTGTTAAGCATTTTTATAACTGCTTATTGAAGCATTTTTTATCATACCAATTTAGGATTTTGTCACAAATACATAAGACCTCTGTCATCTCAGTGTTGATATCTATTGTCTTTTATCATTCAATTTGAGATCTTCCCGGTTCTTGGTATGACAAGTGATCCTGAACATGTTCATATTATGAGTCTTGGGACCTTAAACCTTCTGTGTTTTCATTGGCTTTCTATGACAGTCCTAACAGGGGAAGGGAAGGAGTAGGGAGCACCACTTCATTACTGTCAAGTGGAAGGAGAAGTCCACTTTTCCCAGTTGGCCTCCCTTGACATTTGAATGTGGGGAGTCCTCATAACTGCTGGGTGAAGGTGGGAGTCCAGGCTTTCTACATGGTTTCCATTGACAATGCACTGGGAGTAGCCTTATTACTGTTAGGTGATGTTGAAAGTTATAAGTCTCTAATAGGTCTCTTCTGACACAATCTCAGGATGGCAGGGAAATGACCCCTCATTACGGCTGGGTAGGTATGGAAGTCCAAACTTTTCATTTGGGAAGATTTTTCAATGGGAAGATAAGGTTCACAACCAGCAGGGAAGGAAAAGGTCCCAGTTCTCGGCTTGGCTTTCTCTGATACCATTCTAATGGTGGTGGTGGAACAGGCTATTACCATCTTATGAAGAGGGAATTCTAAATTCCCCATCTAGCCTTTTCTGGCCTGGATGGGGGGTGGTACCAACTTCTTCAGTGCATTTGGGTAAGGTAGAGCAGGGACTGTCTAAAAGTCTTCCACCTTGGGGCACCTGGGTGGTGCAGTCAGTTAAACATCTGACTCTTGATTTCAGTTCAGGTCGTGATCTTGGGGTCCTGACACTGAGCCCTGAGTCAGGCTCTGCATTCAGTCTGGAGTCTCCTTGAGATTCTCTCTCCCTCTCTCTCTGGACCTCCTGCTCATGCTCACTCGCTCTCTCTCTAAAATAAATAAATCTTTAACAAAAATTAAAAATAAAAGTCTTCTGCCTTATTTTCTGTACCTGCTGATATTTATAGGCTACTAGCTTATCCAGTCTTGGACATACAAGGCAATCAGAAAATTCAAAGAACCCACCACATCATTCCTAAAGTCTTTGAGTCCTTAGACAGTCTCCCTTCTTCTACCTTTTGGAGTCTTGTTTTATTTGTTTTATATAATAACATCCAGGGTTTTAGATATACTTAGTAAGAGAAATAGGGGAAAGTATGGCCCCTTCATCTTTAGAAAGTCTCCTAAATTTCTTTTTTATAGCTAGCTCATTCATCTCTAAAGTGGATGATGAAGGAAATAATACTGTATTTATCCCTATCAAACCTGTACATAGGCAACTAATTTATTAGAGAACTAAAATATAAAAAAAAGTAATAGTTCAATTTTTAAAACTCTATGGGACTGGACATAGCCTTAATTTCAAGGTAAACCAAAAGTGTAATATGGTAATCAAATGTCATTGTAATTTTAAGTTCTGAACTAACACTGAGTTCACCTCTCTGAAGCACTTCACTCAGCCCAGAGTATCAGATTTTGAGAGCAATACTAATAAACCAGTGATTAAAAAAATAAGATAGTGATGGTTTCAGAATATTGAAGGAGCAAGAGATACATTACCTAGAAAAAAGGAGGACTGAGGAGAAAGGGTTATATAATAGCAATTATTAGTATTTATTAAGCTCAAAACTGGAAAAAATGGCAGAAAATAGAACAAAAGCAGTCAGATAGGTTGGCTTTATTTATGTAGGATTTTTGTAGCAATATAAATTGCCCCAAAATGTGATGAACTGCTTTACTATCCTAAGTTCCCATGTGTCAGAAGTATTAAAACAAAGACTGTACATCCACCAGTTACAAATATAGTTGAGTGGATTGCCTCAGGAGAGAGCCTAGAATAGTTTTTAATCTGTGATTTGTGGAGCTATCTGAAGAGGCACTATGGATTGTAGGGTGAGGTACAACTGCTGCTGAACACATAAAATGCCCAATTTCCCCAAATTGCTTCAATAAGACATTCCATTTACATACTCATCATCTACAGCTGCTTTTATTAGGACAGGTGCAGATGGGGTGGAGAGAAGGATGGTACTTAAAAAAAAATCCAAAAATTAGTGAAGATATGAACTGAGGTCTCTTTGAATTCTACATTCTTTGATTAGTTTGTGGTTCTCAGCTATATTCCAGGAAACTAAGATCATCATTTTATTGAGCGATAACTCCAAACAAGATTAATGTATGTCATGTGAAAAGCTTCCTTCTCTTCAATAATGGGATTTTTAAAATGAATCAATAAATGTTTCAGTTTTCCACTTTACCTGTGTCAGTAGAGCCTATTTTGTGCCTGGAGGTGAATTTTATCTTTCTCTGAAAGATTTCATATTTAAACTAAATGCCCTTTATATTTAAAAAATAAAAAGTAGCTATAGAAAAGTAAATCTCACAAACACAAAGTTATACATTTTAAATCTATACTTCTATAAAGAGAAACTTTGGAAAAATTAGCTGTTATATACTAAATTTTAGGTGAACACACCATCAAAATAATCATAACTTCTCCATAAGTAAAAGCAATTTGTTACATACTAAAATACTAAAATAATATGAAGTCTGTAAATGCCTGAGTCTTTAAAATACTTCATCCCAAAAGCTAAAGATCATTTCATGACTCATACCTATACTAATCACAGTGACCACATTTGTCAATCCACAGGAACTTTTTTTAAAAGCATAAATTATTAATTTTACTTAGCTTAAAAAATTAACACAAATTTCAACGTATCATCATTCTGTCTTAGTCACTGTAGTAGAATTCTTTTTTTTTTAATTTTATTTATGACAGGCACACAGTGAGAGAGAGAGAGGCAGAGACACAGGCAGAGGGAGAAGCAGGCTCCATGCACCGGGAGCCCGATGTGGGATTCAATCCCGGGTCTCCAGGATCGCGCCCTGGGCCAAAGGCAGGCGCCAAACTGCTGCGCCACCCAGGGATCCCCGTAGTAGAATTCTTATCCATAAATCAACTAGGGATTCTATTTTCAACGTGGTAGTTCACTGGTTTCTTAGAAATGACACTCACTGTTAAGTAATTCTAAAGGTCTATCATCTAGATTTTGCTGAGGCAGGACTCAGAAGAGGGCAGGCTGGTGTGCAGGAGGGATCCATGTATGTGGTCATGAGTCTGCTCAATCACTTAGCACGGGTATCTCAGCATGGCCTTTTTTCTGCTGATAGTTGCTTATGTATTTTGTGAGTGAATCATATGCTAAATGTATACTGAATCAAGGGAATTGAGGTATTATGATAAAATAGTTGTGAACATCGATTTCTACTATGTTGCATGTGTTTTTTAGTCATTATTTATAACTTTATATGTAAAATTTTAAAGTATTATCACCACACAATATAGTAACCCAAACAATATCTCAAAATAGTCTCCTATCCTTTGCTTTTATAGAAACTTATTTTCTTATAAAAGGTAACATAAATGGCAGAAAATTTAGGAAATACAGGACAGCAAAAATAACTTTTTAAATGCAAAATAACAAATTTTTAACAGAAAAGCAAACTTTTAACAGAAAAGTGATTTTATGGACCCCATTTTAAATTGCAAAGGAATGACTGAATCCAGATTTTATTTTCCCATAGAATTAATTTCAACCCTTTATTATAGGCACACAAGACTACTCAACTGATTTAAACAGGAGTAAAACTTGAGGCTTTCAGCATCAAAAACCACATAAAAGAATTACCTTTAGCTTAAATTTGAAATTCTCACAAGTTATCTGATCAAAGCAGATTACTTATTTCAAACTATACCATGAAGAAAGTAAAGATAATAAAAACTTGAGTGAAAACAGCTGATGATCAAGTTTCCTTCAGGAAGATAATGGAATTAATGTAATAAAGTTATTTACTTATTACTAAGAGTTATGCTACATAATGTTTCTTGGTGTTATCATCTACATTTTACAGGTATTTTTAATGTAACATATTTTATAATTCTGAGAGACCACAGTTCCCATCTTACCTTTTAAATTTTAAGAGATTTATCTTTCTAATGTAAATATATTTACTGATTTATTTTAAAACCATACTTGAGCATATTTCCCACATACCTCTTTTAACTATTTATGGCAGAAAACCTTTTCAAAGATTCCAAAGTTTAATGAAACAGAAGTTAAGCAAACAAACTTAATGCCTGCATGCTTCTTTGTAAGTTGGTCAAAATACCATCTAGTAGCCTCTGAAGATGAGCTACCCTTTAATTGAAGCTTTTATTTTAATTACTTACGGAAAGTGACTCTGCTCCCTGTATGTGACACTTAATGCACTCAACACTTTTAATGCACCCTGGAAACAGGCATAAATAGGAGAACAGAAATTCATTTCCAGGGACAAAGCATAGGTCAAAAGATTAGGCATTCTAAAATCAGTTTTATGTTTCTCAAGATGCAATATGGTTATTATCTAAAAGCACATCAAACTGTATGGATTCTAAAATTTCAAGCTTATAAAAAAGAAAGCTGTTGTGAGAATAAACTTATATTAATTCTGTTACCTTTTAGCCGGTGACTTAGAATCTGTTCCAAAATAGCTGCAAAATTGTTAAATTCAGGAGAAGAATCGTCAATTGTCTCAAAGCAGGACCGATCAATTAGAGTCTTCACAGAAAACCTGTGAAAAAAAGAGAGTTGATTCATTCACCTAAGCAGGAAAAATGGAAAGGAAGCAATTTAGGGAAGTATTACAAAAAATAATCTTAAGTATTATATATATTGAAAACTATTCAAATTTACTCTGTGAATAGAAAATTTTACATAAAAATCAGGCTTTCAGTTATATATTTACTGTCTATTGAACACAATAAGACTTAGGAGTAGCTCACTATTTTCATAGCATTAAAATCAGAATTTAGGGATCCCTGGGTGGCGCAGCGGTTTGGCACCTGCCTTTGGCCCGGGGCGCGATCCTGGAGACCCGGGATCGAATCCCATGTCGGGCTCCCGGTACATGGAGCCTGCTTCTCCCTCTGCCTGTGTCTCTGCCTCTCTCTGTGTGTGTGACTATCATAAATAAATTAAAAAAATTTAAAAAAATAAAATAAAATCAGAATTTAAAAAATGACCTTAATTATGAATTCTAAAAACTCAAAAGCTACAATACTGCATATAAGAAATTTAAGTGTCAGACCTAAATGCTTTTAAGAGTTTTAGAGTACAAAACTGAATGAAACAGGATGCAAGTAGTGCAGATCCAAAGTTTTTATGAGCTTTATAAATAGGAATAATTACAAATCTATAATGTGTGTTATATTTTTCCTTATCAGGATGTCTTTGTCTCTATTTTTGACTTTGTCTCATAATCAGTGCATTTTCCAAGACTTAGCTCAAATGCCACCTCTTCTTTTTTTTTTTAATTTTTATTTATGATAGTCACACACAGAGAGAGAGAGAGAGGCAGAGACACAGGCAGAGGGAGAAGCAGGCTCCATGCACCGGGAGCCCGACGTGGGATTCGATCCCGGGTCTCCAGGATCGCGCCCTGGGCCAAAGGCAGGCGCCAAACCACTGCGCCACCCAGGGATCCCAAATGCCACCTCTTCAATGAAGAATTATCTTCTTGCATATTCTTAGCACAAGCATTTTGTTCGTATGGCCCTTTAAGAGACAATTATAGTTTATCTTACTGCTGTTATCTATAGTATCTACCTTACTAGAATATAAATTCCTTCAGTGCAGAAACATGTAAGTAAGGTCAATCTATGAGGAAGGAAGCAATGGGGAGGCCTATGAAAACTGTTAAATAATTAGAAAATGTAAACTATGAGGGAGGAAAAGGAGTACAAATCATTCCCTAGGTCTCTGGCTGGTTATACTATTCATAAGGACAGAAAATATAGGAGGTAAGTATAAAGGGTAACATAAAGATATTTGTTTGTATGATTACATCCAAAAACCCTACCCTAAAAACTCTTCACCACCGGTTATAATATATAGGGGAATGAAAACAGTGAAACATTTATATAGTACACTATAATTTAAAACATTAGAGCTATTGAGAATTTAAGTGTTTTCTTTGTAAAAAAAAAAATTTTACCAACAGTAGTTTGAATAGCGCTTGCATTCTTAGTGTACAACTTAAAATATGGACTGAGCGTACTTTCTATTCCTTAGCAAATTATTCCTTTCTAAGTTTGGATCAGTTTACAACATTTTACCCCTTGCAGTTTCAAATATGAAAATCTCTGAGAGGCCCTAGAATGTGAAGTGGCTTTCCAGTACCACTTCTCCCAGAAGCTGGTTTTTGTCATAACCACTCTGTTCATTTATATCAATTCATTTACCTTCACTAAGTTCCTCTGGCTGCGTACCTAATTCCCTGGAATAGCAGCCGTGTCAGTATTCCCATGATTATTTTTTTTTAAGATTTATTGATTTATTTGAGAGAGAGAGAAAGAGCTCCAGCAGGAGGGCAGAGGAAGAGGGAGAAAGAATCTCAAGGAGACTACTTCACAGGGCTCCATTTCAGGACCCTGAAATCACAACCTGAACCAAACGAGAGTTGGAGGTTTAACCAACTGCGCCACCCAAGTGCCCTCGTGATTAACTATTTCTTCTATAATTCCTTTTAAGTTTAATTCAAATTTTATTTCCCACGTTAGCACTTCATGTGTCTTTGTCATTTTTTCATCTTTGTTGGTCAATTCACTCTCAATTATCCATTTTGTAAAACAGCATGTGGGTTTAACACCAGGACATAAGGAGGCAACACAACTATAGGTTTTCATTTCTGTGCAGGAACTAATAGCACTTGAATAGTGACCAATGCTGGACAGATTTAGAAAGAAGTGATATGACAGCTCACTGATAATGATGTGCATTTGTTATTAGCACAATGGTTTGCAGACTAAGGTGCCAGCAACAAAATTTCATTTTATGCAATTACTCATAGTTAATACACCACGGCAGTCAAAGCAGAAGTGTGTTAGTATAGACCTGATAGTAACTAAATTGTGGTAACTGATAGTACATATTTGAACAGTACAAAGTAAAGACTGCCCCATTTATTAATCACAAACAATTCATTACATGTTAGCATAAATAATGTATTTTTATAAAATGCATCTTTTCCAAAACAACAAAAAATTAGCAAGAACAGTACTGTTGTACCTCTATGCAAATATCTTTAATGTTATATTGAATAGAATATAATAAATCCCCATATCTGCTTCTGTATTCAATCAGTTTTAATATTATACACCGTGTAGCCTCTGAAAAACCTACTGTACGCTTGTTAAAGAATGGGAACAAAAAGGCAAATAATGTCTTAGAATTGTTAAAATAACTCTGGCCGTTTGGACCTCTGAAAGGGCAAGGGTCCAAAAGCACACTTTGAAAACCACTACTCTAAGGCACTTTTTTTATGTAATGAAATAAAAAGATTCTCTTTTCCACTTTCAATAAATAATGAAATGTAATGAAATAACTTACATACTTTGTATGTAATGAAATAACTCTTCTCTTAAGTAACTAGAGTGGTAGTAATTATATATTTTTCAGAGCATTAAGAAAATAATTATTCAAATAATTTTCAGTCTTCTCTGATTAGGAAAATAACCTAGACTGAGGTGGGTTAACGTTCAGTGCATAATACTATCTATAACTACAAATGGGACTCATAGGTGGAAGCCATTATGTACAGAAAAAAATAAGAAAAGCTAAGAAGTAACATTGATGAAGTGGTCTCTTGTACCTAAAAGATAGCCAAATTAGATAAACACCAGATATAATGCATGAGTAAATGAACAGAAACAAACAAAAAAAAAAGATAAACAGATAAACCAGATTGAAAGGGATTTGAAAACTTGTTTTTCTTCCTATGTCCATCTCATTGAAAATACATGAGAAAAATGCTGTCAATCGTTAGCAAACTTTTAATAAGTATAATGTTCTTATTCAGTATGAGATTGAAAAATGAAGTGTTCCTAAAATGAATAAACAAACCCCCTAGTTTGGTTTTTAACCTAAATAAAAGGAAACTTTGGAACTAAATAAAAGGAAACTTTGGAACATTTAAATGTTTACCTCTAATCTTTATTAGGTAGAATGGAATAGAAGTTTGACTCACAAACATTCATGGCAGAAGTAATCTACTGCTTTAAAAATTATGGCATTTAAGATACTAATGCACAGCAGTGAAATGAACTGAAAATTTTACTTAAAGATAAAAACAATACAGTACATACTAGATCAAAAAGAGCTACGCTTGAATATTCTATTTCTACCATAACAATCTGGTAAGATTTCAGTCACTATTGTCCTCCAGGAATAATACAAAATTTCCTAACAATTTATCTACATTGTAAAATAGAACAGGAAGAAAGGCCATGGATATTAATACATATATTTTTGTAGCACCAAGAACATCAGTTGTCAATCAAGTACATGCATCTTTTTATCATGTTATCAGCAGTTTCTATTCCTATAGAAGATACTAGTTGCATGACAAAAACCTAGAATGGTGAATATCAGAGCACTAAATTACTTTTAATCCAACACTTGAATAAAAATAAAAACTAAAATAAAAACAAAGCCCAAATATCCTAAAGCATACCTTTAGATTTATGTTCTGTTTTTTCCAAGCATAAAGATACTTAAGGGTAGGGAAGCATTTTAAATATTCTATTACATTAAGGTTGATAATGAAAAAAAAAAAGAAAGTTTCCTGCCTTTGCTTCATCATTTATAGCCTATTCTTCTCCTACCAACACAAATCAAAATTTCAGAAGGTAACTTCGTTCCTTAGAATCCATGTTTTACTTCTAGCTAGCCAAGTCTTCCCACTCAACACTTACTTCTCTAGAATCATGTAGCTAGCTCCATTATGCCAAAATAATGAGAATCTTTTCCTCCATAACACAGTAACTAGCTAAGATGTGCTATAAAAACCAAACCTGTAAAAAGAATTTCAATACATCTAAAAAAGTATCACACAGATGCTGAGCTATTTCCTGATAATGACATTAATATTAGTCATCTATTTCTTGAAGAGGACTGACTTTAAAATAATGAAATGACAATTTGATGAATTGCCTAAAAATACCAAATCAAGTCTAAGTAACAACGTTTACATAAGAATTAAAAACCCAAAAATGTACATAAAAGGGTCATATAATTAAGCACAGATTTTAAAATATCTCTGTCTAAAAATATTCTCTTTTCCACTTTCAATGCCCAAAGAAAATTTTTGTTAGGTCAGAAACAGGAAAGAATGATTGTGAATAAAATCTTCAAACCTAAGAAAGCACAAACTATCATTTCTCTCTTTGGCAACATACCGAGAAAAATAAGATAGTTACCAAAACTGTTTTAAAAATGTTCATTACAAAAAAATTTTTTTTCATTACACTATATTGAATTCTTTCCATGAGTCATAGATTTGTAACATAATTTTAACTATAATTAAAAAGTAAAAATGTGACACCAAAATAAAAAAATATTACTCATTAATTTCTACATTATTATTGGAAAGAAACCTTAAAAATTGGAAATTCACCTTTAATACTTAAGGCACTACATCAGTAATATATACATATATATTCACATATATGCAGAGTGTTCAAGTAGGAAAAAAATATGTCACATCCCCTTACAATAATCAAAATACTTCAAAAA